TGAAACCCCCTTTCCACTCCTGAGAAGAAGTGTAGCATATAACAACTATTCCTAGTTCAAGAGAGTTGGGATTGAAAGCCGCATCTACTCTAATTATGAACTGAGTGTTTTGGTAGGGATGTGTTAGTTTGGCTAAAGGGTTTAGGGGTAAAGAAAAGGTTGAGCATAGAAGAACTTTGTAGATAGCCACTTAACAGATTTTAAGGCATCTTTTTTTGGTTAAAGACCCAGGAGTTTCTTCTCTTCCATATAGTCCAGCAGGAGAAGAAAAAAACAACTGGCCATGGGGTATGACCAGTGGTTAGGGGGGATGAAAGATTGAGATCGATATATCCACTCCTTGAATTGAAGTCCATCATCCTATTGAGGATGATCAATAAAATCCAACCTCCAAAGCTCTGGTGCAATGTCTTAAAACATGGTAGGTTGATTCATTAACTGTTTGACAAAAGGGGCAAGTAGGGGGGGGGGGAGGCAGACCTTTAATATGAATGGCTTCTCTTGTGGGTATAGCACTATGAGTCTATGACAAGCTTTCCAGAAGAAAGTTTTGATTTTTGGAGGGATTTGGGCATTCCAAATTATACCCTGGAATTCATTTTGGATGGCCAAGGGGTTTTAGGCTAGCCAGATGTTCTTGTAAAGGGTAGTGGCTTGGAAGGATTCTCCACTTACATTAGCACAGATGAGCTGGTCCTGGGAAGAGTTAAAAATCTTCACCGAGCATATGACTTTCAGCATTAATGGGGGGAGTTGGAAGGAGATAACAGAGAAGTCCCACTTTCCCTGTCTAGCCACCTGTCCTACACACAAGCCCTCGTTAGATGGGGAGAGAAGACCTTGAATAAGAGGCCTAAGAATACCTAGAGAGCACCAAGAATCAAACCAGAAAGACAGCTTAGAGTTCCTGCCCACCACCCAAGCAGCTGTCTCATTAAATAAGTTCCACCCTTTTCCCATATCTTGCCAGATATAAGATCCTTGACTGAACTTTTTAGGTGTTTCTCTATTGGCCACATATTTATGAAAGATGATTTTGGAAGCAAGATTGTCATATGAATGTATTGTCCAACATAGCTTGGCCATAGAGACAGAATTGACTATAGCATTACTTCTAATACCCAAACCCCCAAGATCTTTAGGAGCACAAATTTTCTGCCAAGCCACCATAGTTAGCTTCTTGGAGCCCTAGAAGAAGTTTCTTACACAGGAGTCCAAGGCTTTTAGAATAGGCTTCTGCAGAGCAAGGCATTGCATAGAGTAGAGAAGGATGGAGGGCTGAGTTAATCAAAACAGTCCTTTCAGTTTTGGATAAATACTTAGCCTTCCATTGGATAAGTCTCCCCTGCACCTTCTAGATGATGTGAGAGAGAGCAGCCTTGGAAGGCCTTCTGTCACAGAGAGGAAAGCCCAAGTAAGTTCCAAGATCAGGGGTCTGTTGAACCCCAAAGGTGGAGGAAACTTGGGAAATGATGTCCGATTTTGTATTTTTGGAGAAATAGAGCTTGCTTTTAGCAGGGTTCATCTTCAACCCAAAAAGAGAGTGAAAGTCATCCAGTATTTGCATAGTATATGCTGCATTTTGAGGGTTTGCAACCCCATATAGCAGGATGTCCTCAGCAAATAGTAGATGAGAGATAGAGAGGGAAGATCTAGGAATGAAGATGGGGTCCCAACTCCCAGAAGAGCATGCATCAGCAATCATCTTTGAGAATAATTCCATACATAGGATAAATAAATAGGGGATATTAGATTTCCCTGCCTGATTCCCCTTGAAGAATTGAAGAAAGGTGTAGGGTTACCATTGACCATGACAGAAGAAGAGGTAGAGGATACACAACTCATGATAAGTTTGTCTTGTGTCCTCATCAAAGCCAAGGTGGCAGAGAGCTTTAATGATGAAATCCCACTCCAGGGAGTCATTTCTTTAAATCAATCTTAATGGCAAAGTAACCTTTGGCTCCCTTCTTGATTCTCCTAGAGTGAAGAATTTCAAAGGCTACAATATAGTTCACCTTTGTCCCTCTTCTTGGGAGAAAGCTATTCTGATTTGGAGATATCATGGAGTTGAGAAGGGGTTTCAGTCTATTGACCAAGATTTTGGTGACAACCTTATAAGTGGTGGTGCACAAACTTATAGGCCTGAATTGCTTTATAGTCTGAGGGGAACTCACTTTTGTAATCAAAGTGATAGTAGTTTTATTCAGCTCTAGAGGAATCTGCTTTTGAGAAAAGATGGAAGAGATTTGGGCAAGGAGATCAGGACTGATTGTCTCCCAGTGCCTTTAGAAGAATAAGGTATGGAAACCATCCCATCCAGAAGCTTTCAAAGCCCCAATTTTGAACACTGCAAATTTCAACTCATCCATTGTAGGGACCATGGCTAAGTTGATGCTTCCATTTGTTCTGAACCAAGGCATAGAATCCCTTGAGGAAGAGAATAGATTTTGAAAATAATGTTGGACATGTGACTGTAGTTGAGAAGGATCATCAATAGTCTGTCCAGCTGAGGATTCAAGTGAGGTAATCCTGTTCTTGGATCTCCTCATGATGACAGAGAGATGAAAGAATTTGGAGTTCCTGTCCTCTCCTTGAAGCTAGCTCTCTCTGGCCCTGGTAAACCAATATAATTCTTCCTGATCCAAAGTAGCACTGAGGTCTAAGGAGAGGGCTTCCTCCAGATTCCAGAGGAACTGGTTATTGGGTTGATGTTCCAGCAACTTTCATCACGTCAAGAAGCAAAACAACCCTGAATTTCTTAACTTATTCCAACAATTATATATTTACCTTTATCATTATCGAGAGCAATCCATGTATTTTCACAATAAGAAACTCCTTTAATTTCACTGTACAATCTGCGCTTTTATTTATCATTATTTTAGAAAAGCAAATTTATTTGGCAGCTAAATTTACTACTCACTCTAAACACAATTACGTCTTTGCAATATTGGGATCATGCATTACGAATGTTTTAGGAAAAAAAAATATAGTCATACATTCGTAGCTTGGTTGACAAATTTTTTACCTTGTGACACTATTAATAGAAGTTTCTATTTTCACAGCTCGCACTTTTATTAACAATCTATTAGCAAAATAATAAATTCGCAAATTTTAAAACATAATCTACACATTCTTACATTTAATTATGACATTATTAAAAGTGACATAAATTCTTATGTTTTTTCCTTTTTAGATGGATATAAATGGCAACGATAGATGCGTATAATATAAAACAAGGAGAAACCTCGATGTTTATTAATGGTAGTGAGGTATAACTAGAATTTTGTGATTTCATGGATTGGCCTGGGGATTGATTTGTTATGATAATTGTTTGGAAAATTTATGATAGTATATGATTTTGAAAGTTATTTGATTATAATAGAAGACAAAGTAGTTTTATTTTAGCCATTTTTTACTATGTAGTATAAGCCGGGGTACTAAGGTCATTTCAAGGGAACACAACAACCTTCCCTTAGCTTATTTAATAGATTGAGATATATTTTGACACATTCGAGAACGATGTCTGTTTCCTTTCATAAGCATGCAATGCAATGTTAGGTTTTCTAGTATAAATCAAATACAAACAAATGTGGGAACAAAACCTAAAACAGTGTATAACTACAATAAAATTATACAATTAAATCAATACAACCAATTGTATTCAAACCAAGCACTACTAATTCAAAGAATTACAGAAATTACAATGAAATTAACTAATATGAAAGATTACAAACTTGCCTCACTTCCAAGCCTTTTGAACGAACATGAACATGAGAATTTCAATGACCATGTGAGTCTCAAATTAACCTTGATACTTTGTCTTAGGCATGTGAAACACTTTCCTGAAGAGATTAATTTCCCCCATAATTGTGCTTGGGTTTTTACCAGAAATTCTCTTTGAGATACAAAAGACAACACTACGATCTTAGCACTAAGAATCGTAATTAGATGATAACTCTCAAAAATAAACTTAATTGATAGAGATTTCAAGGAAGAGATTGCAAGTTTCTTCAAAGAAAAAGTGTAGAGAAGAGAGAAAATCGGAGAGAAGAGGAAAAATTGTCTATCCTTCTTTTTTTTTTTTTTTTTTTTTTCACAATCCGTCTTTTGATTAAAAAGAACGAAAAACCGCAAACTAACGACGCGGGCCGCGGGCGCGGCGGTCCAGGCTACGGGCGCGGACAGAACGAATTGGATTTCATTCTTTGAAATCTGGAGAAGGCTGGCCACGCCCTAGGAGAGGGCTCTTCCCAGACAACCGCAGGCGCGACACCCCTTGTAGAGGGCTCTCCCCATTCATACACTCTAAATTACTAACATGCAATTTAATCAAAATCTTAGAAAAGCAATACAACCACGGATTTTATAACAAAATAAAAAAAAAATTATTTACCTCTTGACACCATCGAGAGCTATATTAAATTATTTTCACAAAAAGCAGTTTTATTATTGTCCTATAAGAAGCAATACAATCTTCTATATTTATAATTCACACATTTCACACTACTCATTTTTTAGACTTTGTTGTGTGTAATATACATTTTTTATTTTTTATTTTTGGGAAGGGAAATATCCATTTTCTTAATACATTCCTTAATAATGAAGGGAAATATACATTTTTATAATTTCGTCAGCAGTGACGTACTAGGTCCTGTCTAGTCTACAAACTTGCCCTTATTCTACCCTAATCCAAAAAACAACATAAAAAATATAAATAGTCTTTCTCTTTCCTCTGTCACTATCATTTTCATTACAAGCCGCCACCCTAACCCTTGCATTCAATCCTCAAATTCAGCAATTTCATTTCTCATCCGATCAACCCACTTAATATGCGCCATTACTCTTCAGGTACTAATTTAATCGCAAATTCTTCACTAATTTCATCTAAAATTCAATCAATTCTAAACTCCCAATCTTATAATTCAAACTTAACTATATTTTTGTATTTTTTTTTTGGGTCTTTTCATTTTGTAGGCCAGTTTTTGATCTAGCGTTGAAAGATGACGAACACCTCATCGCCAAAGAAATCGAAATCTGAATCAACATTCAAACCTCTTCCGGATCATCTCATCGAGGAAAACATCCTAATCAGACTTGCGGTGAAACCTCTAATCCGCTTCACTTGCGTTTCCAAAGGATGGTCTTCCATGATATCGAGAACTAAATTCACCAAAGAGCACTTGAAATTGTGGTACCCCTCGAACGATCGAACTCTCATTGTCCAGGATGACCGTGATACTGTCGGCGAAGATAAGTATTATTTATCCTTTGATGAAAACTACAATCTGAATGAGTTTGTTGAATTGGGGAAAAAATATCCTACGTATAAATTTAATACTCTAAATACTTGTGTGGTGGGATCTTGTAATGGTCTTTTGTGCATGTATAATGAAGATAATATGCGCTTGTATGTGTGGAACCTTATGACTAACCAGGTCCGCGATACTTTGGGTCCCGCCCCTCGTTGTAGATTGGAGAATTATGAACTAAGGTGTGTCGGATTTGGTTATGTATCGTCTATTGATGAGTATAAGATAGGGTGTTTGATGTTTTATAAGAAAACATTACTTTCTCTTGTGTTTTCTTTAAAGACTGGGAAATGGACGCAAAGGCGTCAGAGAAAAAAGTACTATGATGTGATATTAGCATATCTAGATAATGAAACCCCGGTGTTTGTTGGTGATACTATTTATTGGATTTCGGATACTATAGAAGATGGGGAAAGCTACATAATTGGATTGGATTTAGTTGAAGAGGATATGGTAATCATCTCATTATTCGTACATATCCCTGACGGATTCGCACCTGCAAAATTGTTTCGGATGCAAGGGTGCTTGACATTATGTTTGATTGAAAGCAAAGATGATGGTAGGAATGTTCTTCATGTTCGCAAGATGGTTAAACGTGGTGATGAGGAAGATAGATTTATGTGGGATAAAGTTTTAAATCTCAACTATATAGGAAAGTATTTTGTTTATTTATTTGATACAGGAAAGTGTTTGGTGAATACGATATCACATCAATCTCAACGACTTATGATACATGAACTTAAGGCAGCATCATCATCGGAACAAGAACAAGAGCAAGAACAAGAGGAAGAGGAAGAGGAAGAGGAAGAGCAAGAGCAAGAGCAAGAGCAAGAGCAAGAGGAAGAGGACGAGGAAGAGGAAGGAGAAGAGCAAGAAGAAGAAGAAGAAGAAGAAGAAGAAGAAGAAGAAGAAGAAGAGGAAGAAGAAGAAGAAGAGGAAGAAGAAGAGGAAGAAGAAGAAGAAGAAGAAGAAGAAGAAGAAGAAGAAGAAGAAGAAGAAGAAGAAGAAGAAGAAGAAGAGCAAGAACAAGAACCACTCGATGAAGGTACCGTTGTTTGGGAATCAGTTGATCGAGGAAGCTTGTTTCGCTATTTTTCAGGGGCCGCCTTTGGCTATTCTGAGAGTCTCATTTCACCTTTTTACCCAGGCTTGTTGGGAGAGAATGAAGATAGCTGATTGACTGACCATGAGAGTAGATTCTGAATCGTAAATTAGGAGCCAATTAATTAATAATTAATCAGTACAGTGTGTGGTATTGTTTGTGTCATTGTAATATTTAGTTGCTTTTTAGGCTCAATTTTAGTCCAATTTTACTGTTTGTACTTGCTAGTCTTAATCCAGACAAAACTATGTTACTTTGTAATAGAGATTATCTCTTACTTTGGTTAGTCGTGTTAAATTAATAGAAAATCAAGTTCTAGTACTTATGTTAGCAAAAATTTCGATATTTCTCATCTTGCTAAGACAGAGCTAATGTTCAGATAAGTTAAAAACGGCTATACATCTATCAACTAACATCTTTGCCCTCGGTAGATTAGTATGCATCCGAACACTGAATAAACCATTCTAAATGATATTTAGTAGCAAGCTTTGGTTATTGGCATATATATACTCTTCTTTTGAAGTTTTTTTCGAAATAAATGGTTAACAATTTCACATATTTGACTAACACATATATTAGTCTAGACTAATTTCTCCTCCTAATGCTGTTGAGAGTAACGTGTGTCATTCTACATTATTTACCTCCGTATACTAGTGAGAGCAATATCCATTTCTTTTTACAATTTTTTCTTAATCAATCAAAGTATGAGAGAGGCAATTGCAGTTGTTGATTCCATATCTTATGCTACACGTTACTAACTATTTGGCACTGTTTAAAGAGATATCTATTTTCACAATCTGCGCTTTTATTTATCACTAGGTTAAAATCCCGTGCAATGCATGGTTGTTAAATATTTTTGAGGAAAATTGGCTTAAAATAATACCAATTATCAACGTTGTATGCAAAATAATACGAACTCAACTATTTTCTATTAGCGAACCACCTTTTGTACTATATGTGCAAAATAGTATGCCAATCACCGGAAAAGTGTCGCGAGGAATAATCCGGTCTATATTTTATTATTATTATTATTATTATTATTATTATTATTATTATTATTATTATTATTTACTTGTTATTAATTTTCTATTTTTTTCACAATACATATTATGTTGACAATTTCCGTTACAATACAGTCCAAATTAATAATGCCCTACCCCTTCGTTAGTTTTTTTTTTTAAATTGTCCATATCTATTTAAATATTTTTTTATTCAAAATACCTGTGGTAATTTCTACTACCACACAATAGTAAATATGTTATTTAAATGCATAATTAATTTCATATAATCAGTTTCAAATTTTTTTTTAAAAATTCACCCACATTATTTTGGTTGGTGAATGTGGGGAAATTTTGGATTTTTGAAACTAATTATATCAACATAATAATACATTTAAATACCCTATTTACTATTGTGAGATGGTAGAAATTATAATAAATACATATTGACAATTCAAAAAAAAAAAGAAGCCTAACAAGGGGTGGGGCATTATTAATTTGGATTATAGAAGAATTTGTTAACATTATATGTATTTTGAAAAGAAAATAGAAATTAATAAAAATAAAATAATAATAATATAGACGGAATATTTCTCGAAATACTTTTTCGGTGATCGGCGTACTATTTTGCACATATAGTACAAAAGGTGGTACTGCTAATAGCAAATAGTTGAGTTCGTATTATTTTGCACACACTGTTAATAGTTGATATTATTTTAAGCCAATTTTCCTATTTTTTGACAATAATATTACAAAATATAAAGTATATAAAAGTTATTCAAAAATATTTTATTTGGATATATATGAAATATGATTGTCAAAGTGGAAAGAAAATACATAAGGTATAATAGTTTACTTATAGATTTTGCAAAAAAAAAAAAAGGGGGGGGAGGGTGAGGGAGAGAAGTGAAAAAGGCGGGAAAAATTTTCATAAGATAATGACAAGTGTCATGGAAGGATTTCCTTTTAATATAGGTTAATAGATTATCGTAGAGAGGTGAACATGGTAGATAATTTTATGAATCATTTTACAAATTATTTACGTCTTTACACTATTGAGCTCATGCATTATCCATGTCTTAAAATACAATATAGTCATAAAATTTTAGCTTGGTCAACACATTATTCATTTCTTGACATCATTGAGATCAGAGTAGTATCTATTTTCACAATTCACACTTTTATTAGCAATGTTTTAGCAAGGTAAATACAGTTGCAAGTTCTATAATAAAATCTACACATTCTTACCCCTAAATTCAACATTATTAAAAGTGACATCCATTTTCTTTCTCAATCTGCATTTTTATCATTCTCTTAATAAATGTGTAAATTTAATTGCTCAATCTAAGCATAAGTACGGTTAGACCGGGGGACAATTTTACAATAGATATAATAAAATTGTAGCCATGGTAAATACTTTTGATCTACGCCATTTATTATTAACACATTCTATCTCAACCACTCATGATATTAACCAAGATTGAATCAATTATTTAAAAAAAGAAATAAATTACAATATGGTTACTGTGGGAATATGAGCTCTAACAGTTACAAAGATCAATTCTCTAAATAAATAATCAATACAACATCTTTCTCATCGAAGATTTGTTGGCCAACAGTAAATTATGGGGAATGAATTCGAGGAGAGAAAAGAAAGGATGAAGAGGGATAATTACTGAATTAGAAGAGCATGAATATGGGCAAAACTAGGATGGAAAACTCATAATTCTTCTAATCTATTAGCCATCTTAATTAGAGAGAAGTATTGTTCCACACAAACCCCCACCCTCTTCAAAAATGGATCTCATATTTGGCAAGATATTGGCAAGGGGTGGGACCTTCTTACTTCTTTTTCCCAATGGGCTATTGGCCAGGGAGATCAGTGCTCCCTTTGGTTGGATAATTGGACTAGTTTGGGAAGCCTTAGGTCTATCATTCATGGCCCTCTCCCTGAAGGAGAAGAGGAAAAAATTGTCAACTCCATCATCTCAAATGGAACTTCAATCTGTCTAGCTTTCAGCATCTTCTCCCACCAGATATCAGTACTCATATCCAAGCCATTGTCCTACCTTGTCATGGGGAGGATCGAATTTTCTCCTCCTTAGGTAAAGGGGACTTCTTTGATTCCAAATCAGCCTATCTCAAGCTCTGGTTGCAGGATAACATCATTCACCTATGTTCAAAAAGCTCTGGACCCTCCAGATTTCCCTATCAATAAAATTCTTCCTCTAGTTAGGCTTATGGAATAGGTTACCCACCGTAGAACACCTCCATTCAAGGCATATTATAACCTCAGGATCTTGTAGCTTTTTCCCTATCACACCTGAAACCATTTTCCATGGTCTTAGAGATTGTAATAGAGCCAAGAAATTCTGGGCTTTGGTCCAACCTCTTGACATAGCCCATGGCATTGATGCTATAGACTGGCTATGTGCTAACCTTAACCTATCATTAATTCACAACACCATGAATCTCCCTTGGAGCCAGGCCTTTGCTCTTCTCATCTAGAGAATTTGGCTAAGAAGGAATGAGTGGGTCTTCAATAGAAAATCAACCACTGTGCCTGCACATATTCATGTTGCAAAAACCTTGGCCTCTGAGCTTTACCTCCTTGGACCTTCTTCTCCTCCCACAACCAATGTTGTATCTCCTTTTCTTCAGCCTGCAAACTTAGGACCTAGCCTAAACATAATAGTAGATGCTTCATTTAGGGACGACCAAGGTTACTCCACTAGTGTTGCTTGTATATGCAGGGATTAGCATCATAATTGGGTTAAGGGTATTGCTCTTAATACTAAAGCTACCTGCCCTCTTATGGCTGAAACCATGGCCATAGCTTCTACTACTTCTTTGGCCATCAGGGAAGGATGGGAGGATTTCACTATCATATCTTATTGCCAGAGAGTTGTTACAGGAATCAACCAAACAAATAATGCTTTTGATGAAATAGGGAATGACTGTACTATCTGTATTGCAGGGACCTACTGAGAAAGACACCAAGGGGAAATTTGTGCAAGGGGCCTAGAGATCAAGTCAGGGAAGCCGATGTGGTGGGCAGGTAAGCTATGCTACTTCTAACACCCTCTACTAGGGATACTTGGAATTTCAGCTGCATTTTGGACATCTGTGTAATTATTTTACCTGCTGCGCCAGGTCTAAACTTATGTACTAGTAGTAACTTTTCTTTTGGCATGAAAATTATTAGTTCTACTAACTAACTTTCTAGTTTGGGTGTTACAGCACTACTTTTGGATCCACCTTGATATATGGTGGTGATCTTGTACTTAGGCCAAGGCCTTATGACTATATGTTGTGTTTTAATCTTTTAATCTAGTTCCTCTTTCACCAAAAAAAAAAAAAAAGAAGAGCATGAACGTAGTTTCTCGAGCCATTGTTGTCCTCATTCTAGTTTAATTTTCCAGCCATTGTTTAGTTCAATGGCAACATACAAAACTTGATGAGTTCGTTATAATTTGCAATTGATACAATACCTACTATTTCCGTTTCAAATAATGTGCAACAGTTAGGGTTTATTTATTTATTTATTTACTTATTTATTTATTTTTTGTGAGGTATAAAAAATTCAATTGTTGCAAATAATTTGAGATATAGGTCGTCCACTGTTGAGAGCATGCAGTAAATATCCTTTTCTTTCCATAATGTACACTTTCATCACAAAAAAGGAGAAATTGCAATAATTCTTTTTGATATTCTTCTCATGACCAGCCAATTTTAGAACTGTTATAACGGATGGGGGAGAACACAAGGAAGAGAAGCTCGAAAGCCCATAAACCAGAGCCCACAGTGAGGTTCCATCCTAAAACCAATTGGCAATAGGAGAAGTAGTCTACTTGGGTTATAAACTGAAAGACCTTTACTTTCTTTTTCAATGTGGGACAAAGACTACTCACACTTGCACCTAACAATCTCCCCCTCAAGTATGAGCATGTACACTCCCCCTTGAACAGATTCGCACCCAGAACCTACAGACCCCAGCTCTAAGGCAGGCGGCTCTCACAGATGGTCCTTAACGCCATAAGACCTAATACAAACGATGCCCCTATCAGATGGTGAGACCAGATCAAACTTGGCTCGGATACCAGTTTGTTATAATGGATGGGGGAGAACACAAGGAAGAGAAGCCCACAAACCAGAGCCCACAGCGAGGTTCCATCCTAAACCAATTGGCCGCAATAGGAGGAGTAGCCTGCTTGGGTTATAAACTGAAATACCTTTGCTTTCTTTTTCAATGTGGGACAAAGACTACTCACACTTGCACCTAACAATCTCCCCCTCAAGTGTGAGCCTGTACACTCCCCCTTGAACAGATTCGCACCAGAGCCTACAGACCCCAGCTCTAAGGCAAGGCGGCTCTCACAGATGGTCCTTAACGCCATAAGACCTAATACAAACGATGCCCCTATCAGATGGTGCGACCAGATCAAACTTGGCTCGGAATCCAGTTTGTTATAATGGATGGGGGAGAACACAAGGAAGAGAAGCCCACAAACCAGAGCCCACAGCGAGGTTCCATCCTAAACCAATTGGCCGCAATAGGAGGAGTAGCCTGCTTGGGTTATAAACTGAAATACCCTTGCTTTATTTTTCAATGTGGGACAAAGACTACTCACACTTGCACCTAACAAGAACTTTGCTCTTTTAGATTAGAAATTAATCATTTTCTAGAAGTCGAGACAAATCAATTGTAGAATTTGTAATTAAGAGGATGGTTCGTTGTCCTTACTTTCCTCACCACTTTGTTCTATTCCCTCACCTATGATCTTTCCAAAATCTGCAAAACCTTTTTGACACAAGTAAGGGCATATTCTATTTTCTTTCGTAATATGCGGCTATATTAATATCTTAGATAAGCAATACAACTATAGATTTCATAACTTATTTTAAAAAATTATTTACTTTTGGATACTGTCGAGAGTAATATTAATTTATTTTCACAATTTGCAGTTCCTTTAATTCATAGTGTAATTTGCAATTTTATTTATCATTATTTTAGGAAGGAAAATATGGTAGCTAATTTGTGACTGGTTCTACACATATTTTATGTTTTTACACTTGCATTATATATGTCTTAGAAAAAATATATATATAGTAAAAAATTCAATTTGTATAACTAGGTCAACACATTATTTACCTATTCACAGCGTTATCGATTTTCACAATCTACACATTTATTAACAATGTTACAGTCGTAAATTCTACAACACTATCTACACATTATTACGAGTTTTAATTATTTACTTTCACAATTTCATTTTTATCATTCTATAAGAGAAGCAAATAAATGCATGCGAGAATTTACTACCTCAATCCACACATTATTTACGTGATGGGATTATTGAATGTTATTAGATGGGATTATTGAAGAATTTGATTGTAATTTGTTTGTAAGTTTGAATTTGATGCTAGCAATTATTGAATGTTATTTGATGGGATAGATATATAGGTTGGTTTTGATTGACTCAAAGTTACCATAGCAGCTGCCCTTCCCCGTGGGAGAAAGAACCTTGCTTCAACTTACTTGCACCAGGAGAAAGACTGTTGTTATCTACCCGCCGTACTCATTTCAATCTTTCCGTAGATAATAGGCAACAACGGATTGACAGAGCTCTTGGCATTGCTTTCTTTTTCTTCGCCGGGTTTTGTGCAATCTCATTCATTAAAAATGACGTGACTCCCAACCCACGGGGGGAGCTAAGTTGAGTAGCGAACTCCTATCAGAAAGAAGAGACTAAGCTGACTTTATTGAAGAATTACCTAAATTAAATATTATTAGATGGGATTATTGAAGAATTACCTAAATTAAATGTTATTAGATGGGATTATTGAAGATTTTAAGGTCAAATTGCTTTGTTGATTTGTCTGTTGTCTCGTTGACGTGCTTTACTAAAAGTGTCACAGATAAGAAGTACCACCGATGAGGAGTGATTGCCGTGTTGGAGTTATTATTGATCAAGAGATAACACAACCTACACATACTTAACGCTCTGTTCACTTCACCTTAAAAAATAATATTCAATAAAATTAATTTCAGTTTAGTAAAAAAAAATTTCAGTTCAGCAAAAATAATTTCAATTCAGTAAAAATAATTTCTGTTCAGTAAAATTCAGTAATAAAGAAGAAATATTAGGTCATGTTCACTTCACCTTAATAAAATAATATTCAGTAAAAATAATTTCAATTCAGTAAAAATAAGTTCAGTTTAGTAAAAATAATTTCAGTTCACCAAAAATAATTTCAGTCAGTAAAAATCAGTAAACTTAAAGAAGAAATATAATAGCAATTCAATAAAAAAATAATTTAAGTTCAACAAAAATAATTTCAATTCAGCAAAAATAAGGTGAAGTGAACGGAGCCTAATAGAGAATCAGTAAAAATATTTCAGTTCAGCAAAAGTAATTTAAGTTCAGTAAAAATAATTTCAATTCAATAAAATTAATTTCAGTTCAATAAAATTAATTTCAGTTCAACAAAAATAATTTCAGTTCAGTAAAAATAACTTCAGTTCAGCAAAAATAAGGTGAAGTGAATGGGGCCTAACTTTAATTTTGACATTATTAAGTGGCATCCCTTGCATGCATTTTCTTTCTCAATTTGCACTTAGATAATTATCTAATGGATGCAAATAAATTTATGAATTTAGTAGCTTAATCTACGCATTACACTACAAGAAAAAAGCTTATTTCCGACGGAATTTTTCCGTCGACAAACCAGAAAATCCGTCGGAAACTGCCTTTCCAATGGAATTCCGTCGGAAACATTCCGCCGGAAAACCCTTCGTCGGAAATTTGGGGTATTCCGAGGGAAATTCCGTCGGAAAAGTGTTTTCCGACGGAATAAATTCCGTCGTAGCAGAATTTGACTTTCAACGTAAGTCCGACGGAATTTTCCGTCGGAATATACCTCTTCCGACGGAAATTTCCGTCAGAATCTACTTCCTTCCGACGGAATTTTCCGTCGGAAATTTTATTAAAAAAAAATAAAAAAAAAAACAGCCACCACTAGCACCAAAACAGCCACCACCTACCACACCTCAACCACTTGATTTCAACCCCCCTCCACCTAGTCCCCACCACCACAACCACCCCTTCCATTTTCGACCACCAGTACCCCCCACCACCCCACCACCACCAGCCACCACGAAACACCCCGAAACTACCAGACAACCCCACCACCACCAGCCACCACGAAACACCCCGAAACCCACCCCTTATCCTTCCCAGACCCACCCCACCCTGACCAGACACACCCCACCCCACCCTATCCCTGACTAGACACACCCCACCCCCACCCTAACCCTAACCAAACAGAACCCACCCCACTACCAACCAAACCCACCCCACCCTAACCCACACCAAACATAACCCATCCCACCACCAACCAAACCCACCCCACCCTAACCCACACCAAACAGAACCCACCCCACCACCAACCAAACCCACCCCACCCTAACCCACACCAAACAGAACCCACCCCACCACCAACCAAACCCACCCCACCCTAACCCACACCAAACCGAACCCACCCCACCACCAACCAAACCCACCCCACCACCAATCAAAACCAAATCGCAAAAAAAAAAATCGTACAAAATCGCAAAAAAATCGTACAAAAAATTGAAATCGAAACAAAATTGAAAAAATAATTAATAAAATTACATACAATCGTAAAATTAATAACTAATTAACATAACTAATCGTAAAATAATTATAAAATTACAGACAAATTTACATTACATTACAAAATTGAAAAATAATTAATAAAACTGTTGTTGTTGTTGAGGTTGTTGTTGTTCTTCACGTTGTTGTTGTTGTTCACGATTGTTGTTGTTGTTGTTCACATTGTTGTCGTTGTTGTTGTTGTTGACGAAAAGAGGAGGGAGAATGAAGGAGAAAGGAAGGAGAAAGGAAGGAAGGAGGAAGGAGAAAGGGGCGAGGAAGGAGAAGGAAGAGAAGGAGGAGAGGAGGAAGGAACGAATAAGAAGAAGAAGGAGAAGGAAGGGAGAATGACGAAGAAGCAGAGAAGAGGAAAGAGGGGAGGAGAGAGAAAGAGAAAAGAGGCGGTGAAGGAGAGAGAGAAAAGTTAGGGTTTTTTTTTTATAATAATACATTCCGACGGAATATTCCGTCGGAAACCCCTAATATTCCAAAAAAAAAAAAAATTTCTTTTATTTTTTCCGACGGAATTTTTTCCCTCGGAATTCACAGATCCGACGGAATATTCCGTCGGAAATTCCGTCAGAAGCTGTGAATTTTGAAGGAAAAAAATCCGTCGGAATATTTCCGAGGGATTTTCCGACGGAATTTACCTTTTCCG